TAGAGCAATACAAAATGTTAACTAAAAATATTACGAATATTAAATATATTTTTCTGCAAAATAATAATAATAAAAATAATAATGATAATAATAATAATAATAATAATAATAATAATAATAATAATAATAATAATAATAATAATAATAATAATAATAAATAATAATAATAATAATAATAATAATAATAATAAAATAGTTGAACTTCCAATGGGAATTAGTAATAGTCTGATTGCGCATTAACAATAGTTATATTACACCTTAGTGTTAAACGGGTTGCACATTAATACATGATATATTGCACTATATGGACTTAACCAGAACGACTTCGTTTTTTGTGTTTGAATTTTATGTCGGATCGATTATATATGTTTACTTTTATAATGTTAGTCATTTCGATTCAATAACATCTCTCTTTTTTAAAAAAAAAATAACCAAAATGATCATACATAACAAACTATATAAAAAGAATACTGTTTTCTTATAATAATACTATTTTTTTCAATCAAAATAAATAAAAATTTTAAATAAAAATATTACTGTGCACTTTACATAACATTGATGTGCAATTTAATTGTCTTTAACGTGCAGTTTACGTAACACTAATGTGCAAATATTGAAAGTTTTATAAATTATAATTTGGACACATGAACTTAAATGTAATATGTTGAAGTTTATAAAATTGCAATTGAGTCCTCTTAACATATCAAATTTTGAAAAGAAAAATGCCCCAAATCCTAGAATGCTTAATTTTCGTTCTCTTTTCTGCCTGCGACTGGAATGATGTTTTGTGGCCGCGACGAGCCGAGTGGCGGCGGACGGAGGCCGGCGCGGCAGGCAGGTGGTGGTTCACGGCGTCGGTGGCCCGACCTGCAACTTCTCTGCACTTTTCTGGCGGAGATGAAGTGGGCTAGTTGCGGTGGTTGCAGGTGGCGATGTGGGGAATGCTATCGGCGGCCACGACCGGTTGCTGCGATTGGAAGAAGATGGCGGATGGCGGAGACGAGGCGAGATTGTTGTGGCGGAATGGATGAGGCGAAGCGGCAGACTGGTCATTGAAATGAGGAGGCGAGGTGAAGTTTGTTGACGGCGGCGATTGTGGTGGCCGTCGACGGGAGCACCCTCACCGCGAGATATGGACGAGTTGTCGGACTCAGCGATTGGTGGCGGCAGAGGGTCTGACGACAGCGGCGATATGACCGGCAGGCTCCTTGCGGTGGTGGTGGCGTGCCGGAATCGTCGAACTGTTGACGGGCTAGGTGAGCTGTCGGTGGTGTCAGGAGAGAAGATGATAGATTAGGAAGAAGATAGATTAGAAAGGGGGAGAGAGGAGAGAGGAGAGAGAAGAGTGTGTTGTTGGGAATAATTATGGTGGGATCCACTGATTTTATTATTTTGTGATATTACATTACTGCCCTTCTTGATATAATTTTGACCAACATATTACCATTTAATTACAGAATTGCCACCGCGAATTTGACTTTAATTATCAAATTTTGAGTTCATCTTGACCATTGGTATGATGTATCCAATGGTGTAGAATTATTCTTATTTCTTTTCTAGAGCATCATTCTCATGTGATCCTTATATATATATACATATATATATATATATATATTAAAAACATCTAAAATATTATATCACACATATAAAATGTATCTAAAATATTCTATATTATTCTTGAAATATGTTTGAAGCCACCTAAATTTTTTCTAAACTATCATGTAAAGAAAACATATATAAAAATATTTAAGTTTAACCTCCATATATCATATGTATCCTCCAATCCTTTTTTTTTTTTTTTGACGAAACGATAGGGATAATATATAAAACAAAAGGTACATACGTGCAAAGATACAACCCGAGGTTGAATGAACCGACCCCAAACTGAGAAAACTGAAAGGACAGGTCTGCGACCGCCTAGAACCCGAGACTAGCAACGCTAGAAACCAAAAATGACTCACAAAACA